CAGCCCAGAAAACTCAAAGTAACTCATGTTAGGTATTTAGGGCTTTAAAGGACCTTTTCCTCCCATGGAATTATTTGGCACCACCAACAGAAATACATGACAATAGTGCCCAGAATGTGGAATGTCTTTCTCCAGGCAATCAATTTACACTTGAAGGGATTAAAGTGTCCTATGGAGGCTCTGTGCCAAGATCCTGCCCCCTCCCATCCCAGGCTGTTGCCTTTGATCAGAGAAAAAGTGGTGGCCAAAGCCAGCAGGTTTTAACTGGTGTTTGCAATAACTAATAGAGTCTTAACCTTGTGCCTTCCCCCACCTTCCCCCCAACTGGAACTTCATCCAAGGACCCTGGGGGTGTTGTTAAACTCATAAAAATCTACAACGGGAGGGGCATTGTTTAGTCCTCTCTCTTTTATTGGGTATTCCTGCATGGCAGGAGGTTGGACTGGATGGCCCTTGTGGTCTTTTCCAACTTCATGGTTCAGTGATTTTCCTATGTATTACTTTCTTCTAATATATTGTTCCAGCAAAGCTATTCAAACTAAAAATTTCACTCCCTCTTACACACACGTCATGCGTCCTGTGATGTGGTGTGAAAATCCTGACTATAACACAACATGCTATGACTGTAGAGAGTTGTGGCTTTGGGCGACTCTTTATCAAAATTTCAATCTTGTAGAGAATTTTATCTTAAGGTTGTTTGGCATGGTTGTGCCATAGGGAATAGATGGGGGAAATGTCAAATCCCTTTAACAGCCCTTGCCTCTTTTTCCTTTGGAAAGGGCTTTTGCAAATACTCAAATAAAGCCTGAAAAACCAGTTAAGCTGCTCTCTGCCCCTTTCTCTGTCTAAAGGAAATCCTGAGGTCACGATATACAGGTATGCAGTTAACTGCCAGGACCACAACTCTGAGGTTTAGATGTAACCATAGAATAAAACAAACGTTTATGAAGTTTGTTACACCGGTTTCTTGGAGATCATAGACAGCATAAAAATTATGACATTGACAAGTGAAAGAAGAGAGCATTTTAGACTTATTTTTCCTTTCCTCCTTCATACTCCTCAGTGATGAGTTTCCCCACAGGCCCCTTAGAAAACTAATCTGCTTGTTAGCAAAGTATGTGTCTTGTTTTAAAGGGAAAATGCTTGTATTCAAGGTCAAATGCTGCTTTTTTGCTGCAAATTTGGTGCTAGAGAGACAGCCCTTGGTGGGTTTGTGCCAGTGTGATGTCTACTCCTCTTAACTGTTACAGAAAAATATTATTGTTGATCTCTATATGAAGAATATTCTTTTTTTTACGAGACAGGTTCTTTTTATGGTACGTTCTGCAGAAAAAAGTTGTATGTTTGAGAAGAATGTGTGCTCTGTTGTAGCCTTGAATATTTGTCTTCTACATAATTGTTAGTTGCATTGTGCAAATACTTCCTTGCACAGAAATGGGATGGGCTGCTTAGGAAGAGGGCACACCAGGAGGGCTGCCTCCACCTATGTTATGTTTATGACATCATGCCTTCTATGGAGAATGTCAAAAATTCTGGCACCTAGGGAGAAACATTCCTGAATATGTGAATAGGTGGATCTTAGAAACTATCCTGGCACATTGTTGAACTTAGTGTCCTGGCCCCCAGGTTTCCTGTTTAGGGCAAAGCTGCCTCACAGACAATCAAGTAGCCTGAAGTGACTGGTCAGCCCAATGCAAGCACTTAGTTTATGAGGACATGTACAAGGACCAGAGCTGCTGTTTTTAAAGTATAGTGCAGGTATGGGCAAACTCAGGCCCAGGGGCTGGATGTGGCCCCTTGGACTCAGGCCTTCCTGTCTCACACCATCCTATCCATCATTCCTTCTCTCTTGCCTTCCTCCTTCCCTCCCTCTTTCTCATTCCCTTCCACCCTTTTGTCCTTCTTTCCCTCTCTCTCTCTCTCTCTCCTTCCTTCCTTCCTCCCTCCCTCCTTTCCCTCCCTCTTCCTCCTTCCATCCTTCCCTTCCACCCTTTTGCCCTTCCTTCCTTCACTCTTTCCTCCCTCTCTCCCTCTTTCTCCTTCCTTCCTTCCCTTTTGTATTTCCTTCCTCCGATGCGGAAGTGCATAAGTCTGAACTGCAAATACATTTTTTTAACCTGAGTAAACATTTTTCTAGATATCTCTAGTCTTCCAGTATGACTCTAGTCAACTTCCAGAAGAAGTTGATCCTAAAGTTGTGGTGGAAGATCTAGAGATCCCCAGACAGAACGTATCAATCAAATCTACAAAGAACCAAATCTGCAAAGTTAAATCTGCAAATGTAGAGGACCTGCTATAATTTGCTTCCAGTAATTACAGTTGTTTGAATATTACTCCATTGTCACTACTTGTTATAGCATTTAAAATAATAACCTGTAAATGTTATTTGGTACATTATTTGTTTCTTTTTTCTTGTTTTTATTTATTTTTTAAACATCAGCATGCGATAAACATGAAAACTTCTTGTCTGAATACCACTGAAAGTATCCTTTAAATCAGCCATGGGCAAACTTTGGCCCTCCAGGTATTTTGGACCGGCTGTTAGGGATGGTGGGAGTTAAAGTCCAAAACACCTGGTGGGCCAAAGTTCGCCCATGGCTGATTTAAATGTAACTTATAACATAACTTGAAAATGCTACTAACTGCACTATTACTAATCATATTGCTAAGCCAGTCTCACTCATATTTCTTTTGAAAAGGAACTTATTTTTTGTTTGGTGTCAACAAAACTAACTTGTTATGGCTTCCTATAATACGTTTGCTGCACTATTTACAATCTTGGGTCCATGAGTGGCTTGAAAATAAAACAATATGGAGCTCTGGTTGGTGTACCCAGACTTTCCAACATATGCAGTTTGCATGAGCCAGACATTTTAAATGCATGGTTTGCAACTCTATTTAGCACCATTATGGGCAGCGGTCCATTGGCCTGCAAGTGAATTCAAAGGACCAAAAAAGTCATTCAAATAAGAAGGAAAGGCAACTGGATTTTGCTCTGGGCAGGTTGTCTTGGGTGAAACTGGTCTGAAATTGAGCCTTTTCTGTGGAATGCATTTCCCAAGTTGGGCCTCCTGGTTCCCTTAGTGAAAGCTTTTTGCTGACAGGTAAAAATGTGTGTGCTCTTGATAATGTTTTCAACAAGCTGATTTCACCCGAAAGATAAGCTTGTTTAGACATTTTGTGTATTCGTGTGTTTGCCTTCTTCCTCGCAAGGAACCCAGAGCAGCTTAAAGCCCACATAGTATGGCAAACAAAGACTATTAAAACCACAGTTCTAAATCAGCAAACACATTTGAAAATACCATAAGTCATCAGCAAAAATCAACTGATAAAGATATGGAGGATTGGTGCTTGCCTGTAAACCAAGTTATACCTATGTTTCAACTGGAATCTAAATGATTAGCCAGTTGTTTTGTGATGGCTGAGCTATTGCTGGCTTTCTGCCTAGCTTTACTATAGTAATTTTTTTTAATAGTTCCAGTAGACTTTTAACCCTGATTTCCCACATAAGTAAAGGTAAAGGTTTCCCCTGACATTAAGTCTAGTCGTGTCCGACTAGACTAGTCTAGTCGTGGTACTTGTAAATCAGGAGCAATAGTAGTAGTAGTAGTAGTAACAACTTCATATTTGTACCCCACCTCCATCTTCCCAAAGGGACTTGCGTCAGCTTACATATGACACAAAGTGCCTAAAATGAACACACAGTGCAATACAAAAGTAAAACCAATTACATATAAAACAACAATTTAAAACGCAAAACAATGCCCAATAGCCTATGATGACAACTGCCGTGAAACAGGGCCAAACTCTAAACAAACAAGGGAATGGGATAGTGCAGATGGTAGCTAAGGAACAAGGGCATGGGATGAGTAAGGAAGGTGTAGCCCATGGACCAACTGGGTCCAGGTTTGTGGCCTCTGAAGCACCTAGATATATTCATATTTGAAAAAAGCTTTTCAGCTGAAATAAATAATTGAGATTTTTAAAAATCAGATCACTGCAAAAATTACCTGTTTTGAACTGGGATATAGGGCAGATATTCCAGGTCAAAGCAGATATTGTGGGTTGTTCTGCCTTGATATTCTGGGGACCCTTCCACACAGCCCTATATCCCAGAATATCAAGGCAGAAAATCCCACATTATCTGAGTGTGGACTCAGATAACCCAGTTCAAAGCAGATATTGTGGGATTTTCTGCCTTGATATTCTGAGATATAGGGCAGTGTGGGCCCTGGGTTATATGGCTGTGTGGAAGGGCTATGAGATGTCTACGGTCTCTTCTACACAGCTATATAAAATCCCACATTTTCTGCTTTGAACTGGGTTATATGGCATTGTTCACTCAGATATTGTGGGATTTTCCGTCTTGATATTCTGGGGATACTTCCACACAGCCCTATATCACAATACTGAGGCAGAAAACACCTCAGTATCTGCTTTGAACTGGTTATCTGAGTCCTCACTGCCATATATACCAGTTCAAAGCAGATAATATGGGATTTTCTGCCTTGATATTCTGGGATATAGGGCTGTGTGGAAGGGCCCTTTGATGGTGATTCTCATCTTCTGACAGTGAATTCCATACTTTATTGAAGGGTGGTGACTCTCATATGGGTTTTAATTAGAGTTAACTTGGTTCAAGAGATTTGCTTTTCTCTCTCTCTCTCTTGAACCTACAATACAATACAAGGTTCAAGAGATTTGCAATGGGCAAATGGATCAATTGTATCTGAGTGAAGTTGCTTCTTATTAACCCTGTGAAAGGCAAATAGAAGGCTTCCTGTTCATCGGTGATGTGATATGTTCAATGTCCTGGTGCAGATGGTTAATGTTTTCATTTAAGACCAGGAGGGATCATCACTTTTTGAAAACAGTTTGTGATATTTAAGAATCTCAAATCCCCCTCATTAAAATGTGAAGCCATTATTCAGCTCTAGAAGATTGTGTCCTGTTTGGTGTTGTGCACATATCTTCATTTCAACTTGTATCTTTTCTTCTAGGTGAAAACTGTAAATGCAGAGCCTGAATCACCAATGCCAGTTGCCGACTATCCTGATCGCGTTGCTAGTCCAGCAGATTACTCAGTTTCCGATGCTCCTGCACATCAGATGTATAATGATCAGAGCTACAGAGCCACTCCGTAAGTACACCGTACCCATTTGTCTTAATGGAGCGGACACAATCCTGCGGAACACCATTGTGGGATTATGGCTAAGCAGGAAGTAGAGCAGGCTGCCTATGGGCACTTTTGTTCACTTCAATCATATGCATCTTAATTAACCAAAAGAATCCAGTTAATGCTTATTATAAGGGTGATGTGTGTTGTAATTGGTGACCATTAAAATCCAGAATAAAAAGAGCCATAATTAGTGTTATTACAGTCATAACCGTTATGCTCAGGTCCATGTAGAAGTCTGGGTGAACTCAGAGTCTGAATCAAAGTTGATTTTGAAACTTAATTTAACTTGAGATCCTGATTACTTGAAATTTAGTTAAATATTATAACGACAGCTGTGATAATTGTGGTTATGCCCAGGATGGACTGAAGTGCAGAGTTCAAGCTTCAAAAGGGAGGAAGTAGAAAAAGGAATTGGCAATATTATGCCTGCATATAGCCAAGCAAAGCAGATGGCAGGGTAGAGTCTGTTTTTAGAATTACTATGAAGCCTCATAAATCTCACAGTTAATTACTTTTGTCATATGCTCATGCAGGTTTCATTAGTTACAGTGTCTATTAGAGACGTGAATAGCTGTGTGTTTTTGTTTTGTTACTTTATCCCAAAGTAAAACATGGTTAATTATGAATACTATGCACTTCCTAAGATGTGCAACTGTAATGATAAGCATAATACTAAGAGCACATAAACACTGTGATAGCAAACATCATGCTTTTCAAAGTATGGTTTCCAGGTTACACCATTTCTTTTTCATGCAACGTGTTTCCTGTTATCTTAAGAATAAGTGTTTGCATAAGGATACCTGTATTTGAAGAAGAATAGCTAATCAACTTGTTGATAACCTAGGGGGTGAAAACAATACTTACAGTGTAAATGTATACATAACTGCTAAGAAGTAAGCTGGAAGAGGTTCTGTGGGACTTTTTATTTCAGTGTGCGTACGATGGCAGGCTTAGTATTTTGGGTGTATTTTTCTTTATCTGCTTACTGTTTGGCTAAGCACTTCACCTACACCTTAATATTAACAGAAATGTAAATAGATGACGAATTTGAACCGGAAGACATTGATTTTATAGATTTATATAGTTTTTATTGTTTTTATGCTTTTTTATATGTATTATGATGTAATTTATAATTTAATTGCTTTTAATTGAGATGTGTATGTATTTATATACGGCATCTAATAGTGCCGGTTCTGTACGCCACCGAGTTACCTTCGGGCTGAAATTGGCAGGATAGAAATGACGCAAATAAATAAATAAATAAATAAATTTATGATGGAAGGCCCCCTGGTGGCCCAGCGGGTTAAACCGCCGAGCTGCTGAACTTGCTGACCGAATCCAGGAAGCAGGGTGAGCTCCCACTGTTAGGCCCAGCCTCTGCCAACCTAGCATTTCGAAAACATGTAAATGTGAGTAGATCAATAGGTACCACTTCTGCGGGAAGGTAATGGTGCCCCATACAGTCATGCTGGCTATGGAGGTGTCTATGGACAATGCTGGCTTGTTGGCTTAGAAATGGAGATGAGTAACACCGCCCAGAGTTGGATATGACTAGACTTAATGTCAACGGAAACCTTTACTTTTACCTTTATGATGAACATCACAGCAAGAATGGAAAACAAGTTTATTGGAATTTGAAGTTGGTTCTAAAGTTGGCTTGAGAACCTTTAAGAAAAGAGTAATAATAATCTGTCTCCCCATATTCTTTTCTTATATGTATCTCTTTTAAACTTGAGATGTTGTTTATTTTCCCATACATTTTTAGGAATACAAGAATATTTATAAGAATACTTAAAGGACAGCCCTGATCACCTTAGGTATATTTGAAAATGTTCAGCATAGTGACTGAGGACTTCCTCACACTGAGGCCGAGAAGCTGGGGGACAGCACGGGAAACCGTGGGGCAGTTCCCTTTCCATTGTGGGTCATGAGATCCCTTCCCTCAGCATTTCCCCGTTGTCCCTGGCTTCCTCCCACTTCCTCCGTGGCTTCTTCAATGAGGAGTCAGTGTACACCCTACTCCTCTGGGCTGCCAGCACGGAGCCCTGATGGAAGTAGCCCTGTGTTATCTGATGGTCTCCAGAGCACTCTGTGTCGGAAGAGCGGAGAAGATGCTTGTCAACCTCAATGTGATGAGGTCCTGAGAGAGCCAATTTATGCTTCATGCATGTATAGGCAGTCCCCGTGTTGCAAACATCTCATAGTTAAGAACAGGTGTGAGAAAACAGGAAGTGAGAGAAATCTACCCCTTGGAAGGGAAATTCAGTTCTGAAAGAGTTATCATGGGGGAAAGGAGTATCCACTGAAGTTTTATCACTAATCCTTGTTTCCACGACAAGCCACATTTTCCAATTAACACAGGGACAGAAAGTGTCCCATGCCCTTCTGAAAAGGGGCACAGATACCAAAGCAAAGACTACAAGGGTGTTGACCCTTCCCTATGCTGTTCAAAGCTAATATATATATATCTATATCACTGGAGGTACACTTAAATGTACTTGTTCTGGCTTACATACAAATTCCGCTTAAGAGCAAGGCTACATAACCTATCTTGTTCATAACTTTGGGACTTCCTGTGTTTGAGTAATCCCTTTTTACAACGTTTCTGGGTTCTACTGCTTGCCTAATTGTTTTTTCCAGGGTTGCAAATGTTCACTGAGTATCATTAACCGTGATGGCTCATGACTGGCCTACTTCCATGTAGCACATTGCCACTGTATGGGTTCAAGAGGAGTTCTGCAGAAGTGATGATCTGAAAGCATCTGGGTTGTCTGTGGCTGGCCTTTATATCTTCAGGACTTGGTTTTGGAAAAACACTTTAACCCAATGTCTTAATTAAGTTCATAAATAAATAAATAAAAAGAATGAAGCTGCTGTCCTATTTAAATAAAAGGCACTCTAATGGCTGGTTGTCAAATCTGACAACTGCATATTTTATAAGGTGTGGCAGTACGCTTCACATCTTCATTGCAACATTTCAGGAAAGGAGGAGGAAACTTCAGCCTTGCAAAGCTTTATTATAGTGGCCAGGCCTTGTGTCAAATATTTATGGTTGACCCTCCACATTTCACTTTTACAGATTTGATTTTTCATGGATTGGTTGATCTAGGAATCTCTAGGCTCTCCAGTGTAACTTTTGTCAACTTCTCTCAGAGACCACACTTTTTGGGTTTTGGCTATCATTCTCTTCAAAACAGAAGCCTTAAGCTTACATGTTTATTCCTTGCCATGTATATGGATATGCCAATGTAATAAGCAAGTGTTGTCCCAGCTGGCTGCAGCCATCCCACACCTTTAAAGAAGCTATAGCTTTATTTGGGATAGTTTCAGAAGAGGACAGATTAAATTTCACAATCATATCTAATCATCCTGAGAGTTCTCAGATCTCCTGGTTCAAAGGGCTTGCTTGACAATGACACAATAGTGGAGGCGTGGGGAAAATTAAGTCATTGAACTTGCATGTAATTAGCCTTGGTGACAGTAGGAAATGGATATGGGTGAAGGTGAAAATGATTAAGGCAGCAATAATTGATAGTATTTGGCCAGCTCCAGTTATACACCTACACCTTACAATGTTAGTTTCTTCCATTTAATCTGTCATTAAGCTCTGCTGAGTAAAATATATCACATTTTTGGATGCAAAGGTTGTCAGATTTCCATTTGCTTTTCGGTTGCTAAGGCTTAGGAGTAACTGTGAGCCTATTTGCTGAGGCAGAGTTTCAATGTTAGAGTGCCGTTCTATTTGTGACAGATCTGCAGGTATGTTGTGTTTACGAGTGTGTCTGTCTCTGCCTTGAATTCCATCTTGCAAAAAAGGCAGGATATAAATTCAGTAATAAATACATTTCCATCTGTGTGAGACAGAGGAGGCATACTCTAAACTAGTGTCTTGCAACCTTCCTAATGTTGCAACCCCTTAATACAGTTCCTCATGCTGTGGTGACCCCCAGGCACAACATTATCTTCGTTGCTACATTATAACTGTAATTTTGCTACTGTTATGAATCATAAAGTAAATATCTGATATGCAGGGATATATTTTCATTTATTGGGCCAAATTTGGCACAGATACCCAATACGCCCAAATTTGAATGCTGGTGGAGTTGGGGGGATGGATTTTGTCATTTGGGATTTGTAGTTGCTGGGATTTATAGTTCACCTACAATCAAAGAGCACTATGAACTCCAGCAACAATGGAATTGAACCAAACTTGGAACACTGGACTCCCATGACCAACAGAAAACACTAGAAGGGTTTGAAGGGCATTGACCTTCAGTTTTGGAGCTGTAGTTCACCTACATCCACAGAGCACTGTGGACTCAAACAAAAATGGATCTGGATCAGATCCGCTCCTTCCCTCCTAACTTTCCAGAAAAGGTGTAGGTGCCATTTGTAAGCCGCCTTGGGTCCTCGCCGGGGTAGAAAAAGGTGGGGCATAAAATAAATAAATAAATAAATAACACTCATAATCCCTTTGCTTCCTATTGAAAGCTATAATGTCACATCAATCCACCATAATCTGTGAAACAGCTAATTATATGTTTCTGAAAAGCAATGAAATATTGAGCATAGTATTGAAAAAAAGCACAAAGTAACAGCTTTTATGCAGTCTCTGGTTTAATATATATTGTTGATGCTCTGGTCTGCAATCTCAACTTATTTTCAAATTTTGTACTAGGATACCCGATGTTAATGCTGCTATAAAGCAGTCTCAGTATGCCAACACCAGCAGTTACAATGGATCCTCTAAGGAGCAAACACAGAAAAGAAAAGCAGGAAGACCCAAAAGGAGCAATACAGACAACTATGATGGTGATTATACCACTGGAGGAGAATCTTGTGATGAGTTGGAAGAAGACTGGGACAGGTACAGACGACTTCACAAACCTCACATTGCATTAGGACACAGCCTAGAGCAAAGGACATGTATAGCACTTTTGACATGGAGAGAAAGGTGTTTGTAGCATAAGCTTTCATAGATTGGGTCTATTTCATCAGATGCATGGAGTGAAGACTAAAGATGTGGTAAAACATCTTTACTCTCCTTAGTTCTGTAGTATTAAGCATTGGCAGTTAAAATAGTGTCAAACTGCTTTAATTCTACAGTATCAATACACTCTAACTCTTTACACCATGCATTTGATGAAATAGATCAAGTCCATGAAAGCTAATGCTACAGATATTTTTCTCTCATTTAGTCTCATTGTTGCTAAAAATTCCCTTTGTAAACCAATCCAGATTAACATGGTTTTGAACTTTAGCGCAAAGAATGATTGATGCCTAAAATATCACGAGAAGCAATAAGGAATGGAACTGTGGTGTAATTCTACAACATTGCACTCAAATGTAATACTGTTGAATACTCCACTTAGCTAGGATTGCAGTTGTTTATTACCGATATGGGCCAGAAATGACTTGAATCCACATATTGTCCAATGTGAAGGGCTTTCTTTTGAACTCACCACCATTGCATACTCTTTTGTTGACAAGCTGTAAGAAGACCTTTCCAGTGGCTGCTTATAGGTCAAGTTGGTCCCTCTCATCAATATTTTTACCTGCAGGAATATAGCTTCCCATTTACAGAAAATTCTGGTTATTAATGGAGCGATCTTTTAATGGGTGTGCAAAGTACTTTTATCATTGTTATGTCTGAAGTAAGGTGGCGGTAGATTAAACCGCTGAGCTGCTGAACTTGCTGAATGAAAGGTTGGTGGTTCAAATCTGGGGAGCAGGGTGAGCTCCCGCTGTTAGGCCCAGCTTCTGCCAACCTAGCAGTTCAAAAACATGCAGATGTGAGGAGATCAATAGGTACTGCATCTGTGGGAAGGTAACGGCGTTCCATGCAGACATGCTGTCCACATGACCTTGGAAATGTTTATGGACAACGCCTGCTCTTTGGCTTAGAAATGGAGATGAGCACCACCCTTCAGAGTTGGACATGACTAAACGTCAGGGGAAACCTTTACCTGTACTTTATCTATGTCTGAAATGTTTCTAACATGTTTAAAAATAGGCAAGGTGTTTAATAGGATAATATTAGTAATGATTTTGAAACTTTTAAAATATTATTGATTTTAATTCTACTTTAATTTATATGGTAATCTTCATTGGGCCATATGTTGTGAGTGGGGGTAACATGAAATCAAGCAAGCAAACAAACACAAATACAAAAACAAAATAACATTTGTAATCCCTTACCACCATTGATCATGGTGTCTAGAGCTGACGGCCATTGCAGTCACCCGTTTTACATGCGAGGACATGAGAGAATAAACAAAGACTGGAAATAATAATATAATAATAACACTTTATTTATAAACTGTCACCTCTTCCCAAAGGGACTCAGGGTGGTTCACAAGAAATAGCAAAAATGGCAATAATTCAGTGCCACCCCCACCCCCCCAAATAAACAGCATTCAAGGCAAAAAAAAATTTCATGTCAGGAGCAACTTGAGAAACTGCAAGTCGCAAGTCGCTTCTGGTGTGAGAGAATTGGCTGCCAGGATGTTTTGATGTTTTACCATCCTTGTGGGAGGCTTCACTCATGTCCCCGCATGGAGAGCTGGAGCTGACAGAGGGAGCTCATCCACGCTCTCCCTGGATTCGAACATCCAACCTTTTGGTCTTCAGTCCTACTGGCACAAGGGTTTAACCCATTGCGTCACCGGAAGCTCCAAAACATATAATAAAATAGACTCAATATAACTTATAGACAACCGAAACCAAGGGTTAAACTAAATGTTGTAAACACAAGAAGTCAAATCAATTAATGTATCATCCTGGTACTATCATCTGCTTAATGAAAAATAAGCATTTTAATTGGGAAAATGTAGCGTAATGCCATCCCTGATAGCAAGAGAGGTATCACTACTTCAACATTTATATTTGAGTTGAATTATTTTAATGGAGCCCCCAGTGGCACAGTGGGTTAAACCCCTGTGCCGGCAGGACTGAAGACCGACAGGTCGCAGGTTCGAATCTGTGGAGAGGTGGATGAGCTCCTTCTATCAGCTCCAGCTCCTCATGCGGGTACATGAGAGAAGCCTCCCATAAGGATGATAAAAAAAATCAAATCATCCAGGCGTCCCCTGGACAACGTCCTTGCAGACAGCCAATTCTCTCACACCAGAAGCGACTTGCAGTTTCTCAAGTCACTCCTCACACAATTAAAAAATAAAATAAAATAAATTATATGGGTTTTCATGTGAAATCAGTTGATGTAACAGTTGTACTACTTACCTATTTGGTCTCAACCCACAAAAGGAATTTTGCGTAGAAGAGAAGAAACAAATGAGAGAGACAAAGGAATGTTCTCGTTCTCTCATATATAGTATACAGTATATGTGTGTGTTTAGATAGATAGATAGATAGATAGATAGATAGATAGATAGATAGATAGATAGATATCTCCTCCCCTTCTGAATGGCAGAACAAATAGAAACAAATAATTAAGATAAATGGACTGCATACAAAATTCCAAATTTAAAGCTATAACTTCTTACTCTGTAACAAAGTTTATGAAATATGCAATTTCTTAAACTGTTTCTTAATGTGCCTCTACTTTTGAGTGAATAATTTTCAAGCACTACAATTAAAATGTGCTTTGGCTCCTTCTTACATAAGCTGAAAGGGAAACACAATTAAGGAAGGTACCGTATATTCCGGGGTACAAGACGACTTTCTAAGCCAGGAAAATCATCTCAAAAGTGGGGAGTCGTCTTGTACCCCAGTATAAATTTTTTGGCATCATTTTTCCCTCATCTCCCTCGCCCTGGGCATCCCCGCGTGGTGGAGCCTGAGGAGGAGGGAGAGCAGAGGGAGGGAGGGAGGGGGTGAGGAGGAGCACCGGCAGGCTTCGCTACCAAGCTGGCAGCATGGTAGCCTACTGGGCTGTCTTCACCCTCGCCGGCATTGACTTGGCTCCGCCTCCGGCCTCTAATCCCAGAACAGCTGCTGCAGGAGCCAAAGCCGGAGGGGCGGGGGCGGGGCCTCTGGCTGCTCCGCCCCGCCCCCGGTCCCGCTCCCAGTCCCGCCCCCCTATGGAGGCTTCAGCTCCTGCTGTTTTACCAGGCCGGCGAGGGTGTTTGCATGCTGTGCTGTCCCCTCCGCCACTGGTCTGCTGCTAGCTCCGCCTCTGGCCTCAAAGCCAGAGCAACTGCCGAGGGAACCAAACCCAGAGCAGGGAGGCAGTGGGAGAAGAGGACCCCGCCCCTCGCGGCCCCGCCCACGCTCCGGTTTTGGTTCCCTCGGCAATTGCTCTGAACTTGAGGCCAGAGGCGGAGGTAGCAGCAGACCAGTGGCGGAGGGGACAGCACAGCATGCAAACACCCCCGCCGGCCTGGTAAAGCAGCAGGAGCTGAAGCCGGAGCGGGGGGGGGGGGACCGGGGGGCGGGGCCCTCTGTGGGGCGGGGCGGAGCAGCCAGAGGCCCCGCCCCTGCCCCTCTGGCTTTGGCTCCCTCCTGCAGCAGCTGTTCTGAGATGGAGGCCGGAGGCGGAGCCAAGTCAATGCCTGCGAGGATGAAGACAGCCCAGTAGGCTACCACTCTGCCTGCCGCTCCTCCTCCTAGCCCCCTCCCTCCCTCCCCCCTCCCTATGACTTCCTCTCACATATTTATACCCAGGTCTTTAAGCCACCCCTCATAGGGCTTGTCCTCCAGACCCTTGATCTGCTCTCTCCTCCCTATGACTTCCTCTCACATATTTATACATGGCTCTTATCATGTCTCCTCTCAGCCTTCTCTTCTTCAGGCTAAACATACCCAGCTCTTTAAGCCACTCCTCGTAGGGCTTGTTCTCCAGACCCTTGATCTGCTCTCTCCTCCCTATGACTTCCTCTCACATATTTATACATGGCTCTCATCATGTCTCCTCTCAACCTTCTCTTCTTCAGGCTAAACATACCCAGCTCTTTAAGCCACTCCTCATAGGGCTTGTCCTTCAGACCCTTGATCTGCTCTCTCCTCCCTATGACTTCCTCTCACATATTTATACATGGCTCTCATCATGTCTCCTCTCAGCCTTCTCTTCTTCAGACTAAACATACCCAGCTCTTTAAGCCACTCCTCATAGGGCTTGTTCTCCAGACCCTTGATCTGCTCTCTCCTCCCTATGACTTCCTCTCACATATTTATACATGGCTCTCATCATGTCTCCTCTCAGCCTTCTCTTCTTCAGACTAAACATACCCAGCTCTTTAAGCCGCTCCTCATAGGGCTTGATCTCCAGACCCTTGATCTGCTCTCTCCTCCCTATGACTTCCTCTCACATATTTACACATGGCTCTCATCATGTCTCCTCTCAGCCTTCTCTTCTTCAGAGAAACATGCCCAGCTCTTTAAGCCACTCCTCATAGGGCTTGTTCTCCAGACCCTTGATCTTTCACCTGTATAGGCCAGTCACATATATTCATGCTTCATCATGTCCCTCTTCAGCCTTCTCTTCTTCAAGCTAAACAGACCCAACTCTTTGAGACGCTTCAAGATCCTCCTCTCTCCTTTCTTGTAGTTTGAAGCCATTATTCCGCATCCTAGTCTCCAGGGCAGCAGAAAACAAGCTTGCTCCCTCCTCCTATGACTTCCTCTCACATATTTATACATGGCTATCATGTCTCCTCTCAGCCTTCTCTTCTTCAGGCTAAACATGCCCAGCTCTTTAAGCTCATAGGGCTTGTTCTCCAGACCCTTGATCATTTTTGATCATCCCTCCTCTGGACACATTCCAGCTTGTCAACATCTCCCTTCAGTTGTGGTGCCCAGAATTGGACACAATGTAATTCCAGGTTTGGTCTAACCAGAGCAGAATAGAGCATGGGGTGCAAGACTTCCCTGGATCTAGACGCTATGCTCGTATTGATGCAGGCCAAAATCCTCTTGGTTTTTTTTGTTTTTGTTTTTTGCCACCGCATGACATTCCTGGCTCATGTTTAACTTGTTGTCCACAAGGACCCCAAGATCTTTTTCACACATACCGCTCTCGAGCCACGTGTCCCCCAACCTGTATCTTTGCATTTCATTTTTGACAGAAGTCAAACTGGAAAGCTCTTATTGACCCAGGGTCCCCTTTCCTCTTTTCTGATCTCTTTTCCCCTTCTAACAATTAAACATCACCTGGCTGTGTTCTTGAGAAACTCTAAAACAATTCAAGCTGTCACGGTGATTTAAGGATGAAGACATGTCAAGATGTGACCCAGTAAACATGTGCCATGCCAAATGCTACATTTCTGAAGGATGAGGGTCCAATCTGCCCCTCTCTTCTGATAGGAGGTCCTGATTTTTAAAGACTGCTTATAGATAAAAATTCTACAAATGCTTTGCCTTCACCTCAGTACTCATCGTACAAAGCCTGACTTCTATTTGCATGCAAGCTTCTATGCCAACATACATGTAATCTGAACCATTTAAAGCCTGCTTTCATACTTGCCAGCATGATGGAAAGGACCCAGAGTGTAAATGAAATTCAAGGGAGGAAGAGCAACTATAATGTCCAATGTAAGGTACAATGTCCCTCTCATAGGAACCTGCATGTCAGAAGCATTTGAATTAAAATTACCATATTGAATTCAAATCTGATTTTTTTAAAAAATTATTTGGTGTGCATTGGAAGAGGGGTGGTTTTATACGGCGAGTATATCCCAAACTCTATATTTTAACTGGAAAAGTTGGGGGTCGTCTTATACGCCCAGTCGTCTTATATGCCGGAATATACGGTGTGTGTGTATAAGGGTTAGTCAAAATGAATACGTCTTATATGCCGGAATATACGGTATGCATAGTTATGGCAACTTGAATCAGTCAACTAAGCTGCTGAAATTGTAATGAAACTCACATGCATAGAAAGCAAACATTTGTGTTTCCATTCTTATCTCCATGCACTTTATGAAAATCACAGCATATGAAAAGTCTGTGGGTGGGAGGATGGGTGGGTGCAGATATGCCTTTGATTCCTTTGTGGAGGGGGAGATCATGAACACTTGCAGCAAAGATATGGCTAAAAATAGTAACTATAATAAGTAGAGACAGAAGTCTTGCTAGAGAAAATTATCTAGCTGTTTACATTCTGGGAATGAGTTTGCTTCACAAAATTGTTACTCCCTACGAAAATAGCTATAGTATGCAAATCATAAGTAGTTTGCTTAATTGGGCAATCCAGTTCATTTTCATTCATAAATCTTTAAAAATAATAACCACGCCAGGGTTTCAAAACAGCGTGATTGCATAAAATAGAACCTTTGTGACCTAATTCCTTTTGCAATTCCTTGATAAATTGGATTAAGTACACTATCAGCATTCACTTTAAAACAATGCTATAAAGTGTTTTAGGAATGAATCCTGAAGGTAAAGTATTCCAGTTGTGCAGAAATAGTTGACAGACTGAAATACATAGCTGGAATTAACAATTACCTAAAGACATGGATGTTAGACTGTTAATGAATGTCAGGTGCTGTAGGCTATATTTCGGAGGAGGGAACTGGCAAAACCACCTCTGAGTATTCCTTGCCTAAGGAAACCTATGAAGATTCATGGGGTTGCCACAAGTTGACAGACAATTTGAAGGTATATACACATAAAGACAAAATGTTATATTTTTCCCATTTAGTGATTATATTATTCCATTTGTACAGTTACTATTCACTGCTTATCTATTTAAAAAATTGGAATCCCATCCCTTTATTGTTGTATAAGATCATTACAAGTATGTCTAAAGGTCTAGTTCAGGCATGGACAAACTCCGGCCCTCCAGGTGTTTTGGATTTCAACTCCCACAATTCCTAACAGCTGGTAGGCTTAGGAATAGTGGGAGTTGAAGTCCAAAACACCTGGAAGGCTGGAGTTTGACCATTCCTGGTCTACTTTAATGTGTCTACATTCTGCAGTTTAAGTTTAGATTAAATAATAATGAAATGTTAAGTTAATTTCCTGCTGAATTCGATATCCTTTCTCTATTATCCAATGGTTCCCAACCTGTGGTCCGTGAACCACCAATGGTCCGCAGGAACAAAAATATGGTCCATGGCCTCACCATTGCTACACCGTTTCAATGAAAGCGACTGGTCTCATGAAACCCTTTAATAGTGCCGAGGCTTAGTAAATATGGTTTTCTCTGGGTGAGCAGATGGCAACTACTAGATGGCATATGTTGTGTATATGTTGAAACTAGAGCTGATGTGGTCTATCCAATGCAATTTTCTGAATCAGCACCCCCAAATAACCAAACCAAATCTAAAGTTGACCAAAAACTGATTCGTAACCCTTTTGGTACTAATGTTGGAGAGTGATCCTTGGTCAAGTGGTCCCTGGTTTAAAAAAAAAAAGGTTGGGAACCACTGCTATAAACAAAGCTAGATGTGTTTTTAAAGAAAAGTCTCCCTGAAATTGAGTAAGCCACTCCCTTTATACAGAAATGGCATTTTAAATCACTCTTTCCCCAGAGAATATCCACCTGTATCATCAGACCAACAAAGGCAAACGTATAAGCGAGACTTCGATGCAGGACTACAAGAATACAAGCGTTTGCAAGCAGAGCTGGATGAGATCAGCAAAGAACTCTCTCGTCTTGATAAAGAACTAGATGAATATGTTGAGGACAGTGAGGAATACAAGGTAATTATATTGCTTTCAATTTCCACTTTAATACACACAAGGAAATGAACCACTTAGTGTAACCAGTAAACACTGTAACCAGTAAATCAACTACCAGTCAATCAGTTATCTGTGTAGCTGATTTGAATTTTTAAAACAGCATAGAAACACAATTTCTTTTAGAGATGGAAAATATGTCTCCCTTACAGTGATGAAGAGTCATGGCTCAATTAAGAATAGTGAATAACATCAAAATAGGTAACTTAAGATATCAGTGGAAAGCTAATGTTTCATGGAATCAAAGGGCTGGAGTTTTAATATTATTTATGGAATGTGCTTATGTTGATTTTCTTCTCAGTAGTGTTAATGAGTAAAGAGGTTCTTGAGGGAAAAGTTCTTTGTCTGGAAATAATTACTTCCAAAGACCAGACCAGCATTCTCATATGATTTTCAATGGAGTTTTGTTTCTGTATTTTGTTCAGCTTGCTCAGTGATACATAGAATCATAAAGTTGGAAGAGATCTCATGGGCCATACAGTCCAACCCCCTGCCAAGAAGCAGGAAAATCGCATTCAAAACACCCTGATAGATGGCCATCCAGCCTCTGTTTAAAAGCCCCCAAAGAAGGAACCTACACAACACTCTGGGGCAGAGAGTTCCACTGCTTAACAGCTCTCACAGTCAGGAAGTTCTTCCTCATGTTCAGATGGAATCTACTTTCCACCTTTGCAAGTATTTGCCCCACCTTTCTAAGAAGTTTTGGTTTCCTAGTTAACTCTTTTTTTCCAAACTGCTTTCAAATTTGACCCTCAGAAACAAAATATACAATGGACCCTTGCTGTCTGTGGCTCTGTATCTGCAGATTCAACTAGCAATGGATTCAAAAATACACTACACAATAAAAGTAGAATGGTATGCATTGTGTTTGCAAGGTTGGAGAGAAAGAGAGATCTATACTGTGGATCTGTGAAATGATGGGAATCCAAGTGGAGTGCTTTACACACATTCATGCCTCCCACCATTTTACAGGGAGCCCTTGGTGGTGCAATGGGTTAAATCCTTGTGCCGGCAGGTCAGCTGTTCGAATCTGAGGAGAGCAGGTTGAGCTCCCTCTGTTAGCTCCAGCTCCCCATGCAGGGACATGAGAGAAGCCTCCTACAAGGATGGTAAAGCATTAAAACATCTGGGTGTCTCCTGGGCAACATCCCTGTAGACGGCTAATTCTCTCACACTAGAAGCGACTAGCAGTTTCTCAAGTTGCTCCTGATACAAAAAAATTACATTTCACAGGTCCTTGTGTCTTTCTTCAGCCTCATAAATACAGTGCATACCATGTCATTTTATCTAATGGGACTTGATCATCTGTGAATAGTGGTATCATGGAACCAATCCCATATGGTTATGGAGGGTCCACTCTATTATGGTTGGTGTAGTGGTGTTTTCAAATTTTAAAGATAAGACTATTGAGAAGGAAAAGAAGGTTTGTAAAACAGGTTCAGTATTCCTTATCAGTAATAGTAATATTCCAAAACTGTACACATGGGTGACTGAAACAGTGACACCTTTGCTTTTTATGGTTCAATGTACACAAACTGTTTCATGCACAACATTATTTAAAATATTGTGTATACAATTACCTTCAGACTGACTATAAGAAACACAAATAAATGTCATGTCTAGTCTTAGATCGAATCTCCAAGGCGCCATCTACACTGCCATGTAATGGACACTGCACTATATGACAGTGCAGATGGGGCCTAAGATATCTCATTGTGGATGTCTATGGCAACATAGGTACTCCAAAATCCAAAACACTTCTGTCCCCAAGGGTTATGTAATCTGTACTTTGTTTATTTCTGTTATAAGCAAGCAACTAGGGAAAACTTCCTTGCAGATTATAATCTGGGTGATTTTGTTTCCTAAAAAGCTCTCTCATCTTTGTTTTCCTTTAGGCTGCTTAGCTTCAGGTTGTTGAAGGGGATAGTATGTTGCACACTGTGGTTGAAAGACATAGCTTAATCTGATGTCTAGTGAGAAATCCTTCATAGTGTCTAGGGCCCCTTCCTCACAGCTGAATGAAAGCCCACATTTTCTGCTTGGAACTGGAATATATGGCAGTGTGGACTCAGATAACCCAGTTCAAAGTGGATATTGTGGGATTTTCTTCTTTGATATTCTGGGTTATATAGCTGTGTAAAAGGGCCCTAGGAGTCAAAACCTAGAGCAGGTATGAGAAAGGAGTGAACCTCCAGATCCAAATTGTATGATCTTGGCCCTTTAATCATACCACATAAGGCCAATGATATATTTTTGGCCATTTCGATGGGAGACCCTTAGCATGAATATGGGTGGATACAGTCCATGGACCATTGCTTTCTCCATTCTTACTTTAGAGAAAAAAATGTTCTTGCTCATTAAACTATTACACAGTTGTAACCCCCCCCCCCCCCCCCCACCTTTATTCTGTTTTCCCTCTTGGGTAATATCTGTTGCCTAATATGAGCCATTCTTCCTTCTAGGCTGCTGCTGAGGAATACAACAGGTTGAAGGAAATAAAAGGAGTAAGTAGGTTTTATTTCAGAAAATGAAACATAACAAACATATTGCTTGTTCTTCAGTAGAGTGAGTGCAACAATACAGCTTGGTTCTTCTGTATCTCTGATGTCTTTCTCCTTCCTTTCCTTTTGCACCATTAATGACAGTTATCATTCTATAACATGCATGTAATTCAGTAATGCCACAGCGCTGAGAAAGAAGGGACAAATATTGCCTTCCCGTCAATGTCCTTTTAGCCATTACCTTCTACACAGCCTAAAAAATAAGACTATTCCTGATAACAACACTCCCCCCCAAAAAAAAAAAATTGTTAGTAGAAAGGCTGCTTGCAGTGGCTTGCATGTGTTCTCACGCATGCTTTCAGCTAAATAGAGTTCATCTCTCCATAGACCTCTGTCTGCTCTTTAGGTACATTTCACTGTTAAAACATTTAGGAATTTGAACTTCTGAATAAGTTGTCCAAGTTCAGGACTATTTTTCTTAATGACGTGGATGCGTTTATGAACAGAAAATTTGGTGCCAGAAGCAGAAATAATAGGGAAATGTTAGTACACACCCCAAAATAGTAGCAGTTCAACATGTTTCAGCAAACTTTTTAAATCCAGAACTAATATGTGAGCGTGAAATGAAACAACCAGGTCAGGGAAGCCTTGTACAAGTAAACAAAAATATTTCAAATCTTATAGAGACTTCAGTGCTTCTACCAAAATGCCTCCTTCACCAACTTCTACATCCACAACTCTGTGAGAGAAATAAGGTTGAACACTGTGAAAGCCATCCACTGCATGGCTATCAACCTCCTCCCAGTAGACTCAAATCAAGGAAAAGCTTCATGAGAACTACTCCTCCTCTTAATATTCCCCCAACAACAGTAAAGGTATCCCTCTGGGCAGCTAAACCAGGAAACCCCAATTGGATGGTCTCCCATGTGGGTCTTCCAAGGGCAAAGCAAGAATGGGCAACTTGGAACTCCCTGAACAGACTCAGAAGTGGAGTGGGCAGATCAAGACAACCTGGCAAAATGGTACTGCCTAGAAGAATCCTTCACCTTGTGTGACTGTGGAGCAGACCAAGCATCTGTATGCTTTCCCAAAATGCCCTGCCTTATGCACAGAGGTAGAATTGTTTAAAACTACAGATAGTCAGGTTACTGTTGCCCATTTTTGGTCTAAAATTATTTAGCCGCTTGTGCACCCTCTATTTTATCAGTTTTATGCTTATTTATGCAATGCTTTTGACACTAAATCAATAAACCAACCTCTTTTTCCCTTATTTCCATTTTTGTGGCTAAACTCATGGATCTGTTTTTTTGTTGAAGTGCTGAGGGTGGCTGCTGTAGTAGGCTTATCTGTTATCCCCCTTTCCATCTCATTTGCTAAACGTGAATCCTTAGTAAAGGGTTGTGGAGTCACCTGCTGTTTATCTTGCCTATTGCTAATAAGTACACACAACTACCGTAGGATGAGCTAGAGCACAATCCCATTCTTTTCCAGCTCAAGCTTTATTGAATTGCTTACTACTGAAGTGCTGCTGCCTTCCTTTGACAACCTCTCAGTACTGATGCTGTTTTTATTTTTTTTTAAATCCAAAGTGAGATCTATGTAGACATAAAAGTATATGAATGAGTTTTTTAATCAGAGACTTTGTAAACTGAGGAATGCCTGTATAGCTTCATTTATTTTTATCGACATGCATCATGTAGGCTAAGTAATATATTATCTAATGTTTTTGATGAGAGTCAGTGTGGTAGAGTTTTGAATATTGGACTGAGATTCTAGAGCAGTGGTTCTCAACTTATGGGTTCCCAGATGTTTTGGCCTTCAACTCTCAGAAATCCCAACAGCTGGTAAACTAGCTGGGATTTTTGGAAGTTGTAGGCCGAAACACCTGGGGACCCACAGGTTGAGAACTTCTACTCTAGAGAACAGGGTTCAAATCTCCACTCAGCTATGGAAACCTACTGGGAGACCTTGGGCAAGTCATTCTCTCTCAGCCTCGAAAGCCTCCTCTGGATAAGTCTTACCAAGAAAACCCCACAATAGGTATGCTCCATGGTTACCATAAATAGGAAATGACTTGAAGGCACACAAGATTAACAATGTCCTTAACTCTGAAGATTATTTCTTCCCCTTCCATATTAATCATATCTTGCATTTTGTATTTAGTCAGCAGATTATAAGAACCGGAAAGCATACTGCAAGAAGCTGAAGAGTAGGCTGTCACACATCAAAAGGATGGTTGCTGATTATGACAGACAGAAGTCCTAACCAGAAGGAAGAAAATGGTCTACATGGCCAAATATGTTAATATTCATTAAGCTGGGATATGATTGTGTTGGACTGCAGGTAATGAGAGACCTTGGTGGTTTCTACTTCACAATTATGTCACTTGTGCCATGTTTACTCTGAAGTATGGACTCTGGCACTCAATATATGGGGCTTCTAGTAGTTTCACTGAGTCAAGGAATTTCACTATTCTTTACATCAGGTTTGTCTGTTTTTCATCCCATGTAGTGGACATTTTCTCTATTTGCCCTTCATGTTCTCCGTGCTCCATTTTCCTTGCGGGTTTAGACCCAAATCGATCCAGTCTCTTTTTGAAGAGTCTTGTTGCATTATATCTTTCCAAATGCCATTTGCAGGGTAGGCTGAGTGCTTTCTCCTTGTATTAAAATGCAGGAAATCATTTTCCCTATGTAGACCACATGTTAAGCTAATGGGAATTATATTTTGAATTGCACGGAGTATCAAAATGGAGCCAATGTTCATAATCTAGTATGTGATATCACCAAGGACAATGTGAAACTGAATGTGAATATATCTATTATTTTAAAAAAATATCAATGTGTATTTTAGATGGTTTTATGATATACATATAGAATTGAGGAACAAAATGTTTTGACTTGAATATAGTAACATTCATTACCTATGGATGTCTCTTTGATTTGCAATCCTATACGCAGTCACCCGGGAATGTAGTAGAAGTTACTTCAAAGACATCACATGCAAGATTCTGCTGGAAATGACCAGCCAAAGTCGTTATGCCAAAAGTTTTGACCACTCTGTAGTGTAACCGATTTATTATGGCCAAAGAAAATGGAAACCAAAATGTTCCTTTTAAATGTTATGATTTACAAAAGCTATTAAGAAAGAAAGGAAATGGTAAAATCTAACTGCTATTTGTATATACAGATATCCTGTTTTTGGTTAGGTCAAGTACTATCCTTAACATAAACACAATAGCCTTTGATTCTGGAACAAATGAGGGCAAAGTAGACACTGTTCTGCTCACAGGTTATTGGGTGCAACACAATGAATTTGACCAAATCCTGTTTAAGGCAGGCTAACTGAAATCAGTGAGGCTTAAATTACCCATGATTAATAATCCAATGATTTCAGTGAATCCACTCTAAATCGGACCAAGTCTAGATCGAGTCCAGTGTATCTAAGTGCCTCCTCAATGAAAATATCAGAAATAAGTTAACCTTTTAAAGAGAGAATAATTTTTTAAAAAACTGCTTTCATAACATGTTTTAATTGGAATACAGTCACTGTGTACGTAAGTCTATTTTTGGATGTTTTTATGATATGTCAATAAAATTATTTCAACTTTTGGATATACTAAAACATGAATCATTTGTATTGGATTTATTACATTTACAGCATGGTCCATTGTTTTAAGGCCTTGGCAAGGTACAGTACTATTCATTTAAACTTTCAAAGTCAGTAGAGTCTCGCTTATTCAACATAAACGGGCCGGCAGAACATCGGATAAACGAAAATGTCAGATAATAAGGAGTCTCCTACTGTTACTCCTCCAACACGGTGCTAAATGGCTAGAATACTAACAACAGGGACTAAAAGGGTTAAGGCAAGGCACTTTTGGTCCTGCCTCTTTTCCCCCTTTCCTCCCTCCTCCTCCTTATCTTTCCTTTTTCACTTAATGAAAATTGAGAGTGAATTGGGGAGTACTCATTTAATAGAAGGGGAAAAGCGGTGTGTCGGATAATAGCATAGGATAAGACGGAAAGTCAGATAAGCAAAGGTTGGATAAGTGAGATTCTACTGTAGCCCTTTTTGGTCTGTCTGCAAAAAAAGATCAGAAAGACGGAGTTACTTAATGTGTTGTTAAAGCTTTCATGGCTGGAATCACTGGGTGGCTGTGAGTTTTCCGGGCTGTATGGCCATATTCCAGAAGCATTCTCTCCTGATGTTTCGCCCACATCTATGGCAGGCATCCTCAGAGGTTCTGAGATATTAAAATTGCCAGAGGTTACTTAAAATTGCCATCAATTGCTGAGGAGACTCCAAGGGTTAACTGAACCCTCTCCCCAGGCATGTAGCCGGGGGGGGGGGGGGGGGGGGGGCTTCACCCCCCCCCCGAAATTCTCATGGTGGTTCGCGAAAAGGCCTCACTGGTGCATTATTTAAACTGTTATGTTTATTCATATCATGATCTGATCACCATACTCAATATATCCCATATGCATGGGGTATTGGGGTAATGATACAAAAGGTTTGCTAGGCTAGACCCTCTTTCACTCAGACTCCCCCCCTGAAACTCAGCCCCCCCGAAACCCCCCCTGAAAAAAATTCACACACACACACACCCCCGAAACACAATCCTGGCTACGGGCCTGCCTCTCCCATTAAACTTTCAGAGGGAACGTTGTGCTAATGTTTTGCAATAAACAACAAAGAGCCTTGTGACAACTGAAGGGCCAACAGGTTTATTCCAACATAAGCATGCATAGACCAGTGTCCACTGAGGCATTTATTACTTTAATAATCAGTGATGAGCAGGACTCAGCATCTCTATGTCTTCAAGATTGATCAGGCTGTAAGACATCCTTTGTGTCTTTTGGGAGAGGCTGGAAGTCAGTTGCTTTCAAAATACAGTGAGCTATAATCTTAGCGAGTTCTCTGGAATGTAATAGCCTTAAGAATAACTAACCAAAGCAATTTAAAGGTATGCAAAATGACATGGGATTTCACAACATTGCTTAATATTTACTCTTAACTTGCTACGTAGCCAGAAAATCTCACAACATTTTCTTATGTGAACTCTCAGAGAACAAATTCAGGTGACAGTTTAATACTATTTTAATCATAACCTGATGTATGTTTTTACAACCTGTGTATTTATTTGTAATTTCCTTTTGTTTTGTAAGCTGCCTTGATCCCCAGCTTTGGGGAAAGTTTGTATGGAAACACAAACTGTCAGTAACCTGCTCATACAAAATTCCTGAATATTCCAGCAGGTATCAGCGTAACATAAGCCTGAAGTGTCACTTTTAGATATGTAGTAATACCATGTTTTACTGCCTATAGGTCTAGTCATGTTTATTGCACAGAAGAATTTCCAGAGAGTACTGGGGATGGATCAGGAAATAGGTGTAAAATAAGTATTCTTTCAATTTTGCTGCCTTATGAAACGAGGAAGGTGGAGGCTCAAAAGAGGATATTTTCAGGGGTAAAACCCTGCATGTGCTGTGCCTTTTCAAGTAACACCCATGTGATATAAATTCAGATTCATGATTTTCAGCAGCAGGTAAAGACCTTTCTATTTGCCTTGTTCTCTGAGCATGTTAGCTGGTTTCATGTTTACTGTTCTTGTCTGGTTTTTATTATACTTTTACCACTCTGCTTTGTTTATATTGGGTGACTGTTTACACCCTTTATTTTTTATGATCCTGTGAGCGGCCATGAGAGCTTGTTAGCAAAAGTACTCCACTTTTTCTTAAATAGAAATAAAAGCAAATATTTTACAGATGAAGGGAAATTAACCTGTAAAGAAGTATAACTGTGTATTCTTTGTAAGGCTTATGCTAATCCAGGTGTCAACATGGGTGTGCGTATCAAAACTTAATAACCATTTCCAGAATGCCAAAAGAGACCATTCAGGGTCGCTTAACTCAGTGTTTCTCATCCTGGGGGTCGGGACCCCTGGGGGGGGGGGATACGAGGAGGGTTTTAGGGGAGGCACCAAAGACCATCAGAAAACACATATTTCTGATGGTCATAGGAACCCCTTTGGCAAGGCTGAAGATCTCTTTGCCTGTCTTTCTCTTCCTTTTTGGAAACAGACGGCGAATCCTACAAAAAGCCCTCCTCCTGCTCCCTAGATGTAGGTGAACTAACACTCCAAAACACAAGGTCAATGCCCACCAAACCCTTCCAGTATTTTCTATTGGTCATGCGAGTTCTGTGTGGTGAGATTGGTTCATTTCCATTGCTGGTGGAGTTCAGAATGCTCTTTGATTGTTGGTGAACTATAAATCCCAGCAACTACAACTCTCAAATGTCCAGGTCTGTTTTCCCAAAACTCCACCAGTGTTGGTGAACTATAAATCCCAGCAACTACAACTCTCAAATGTCCAGGTCTGTTTTCCCCAAACTCCACCAGTGTTCACATTTGGGCATATTGAGTATTTGTATCAAGTTTGGTCCAGAACCATCATTGTTTGAGTCCACAGTGCTCTCTGGATGTAGGTGAACCACAACTCCAAAACTCAAGGTCAATGCCCACCAAACCCTTCCAGTATTTTCTGTTGATCAATGGAGTTCTGGGTGCCAAGTTTAGGGCTTTATTTCATTGTTGGTAGAATTCAGAATGCTCTTTTACTTATAGGTGAACTATAAATCTCAGCAATTACAACTCCCAAATGACAAAATCAATCCCCCTCAACCTCACCAGTATTTAAATTTGGGTGTATCGGGTATTTGTGCCAAATTTGGTCCAGTGAATAAGAACATATCCTGCACATCAGATATTTACATTACGATTCATAACAGTAGCAAAATTACTGTTATGAAGTAGTAATGAAAATAATTTTCTGGTTGGGGGTCTCCACAACATTAGGAACTGTATTAAGGGGTCGTGGCATTAGGAAGGTTGAGAACCACTGGCTTAACTCTTAAATGAATACAAGCATTAAAAAGGAGCTTAAAACAATTCACGGATTGGCAAATCTATGAAAAATAGCTAACTATAAGGCTTGATAGACCTCCATCTTCAAAGAAGATGGATATCTGCCAATTGCTTGGGCGTAAACAATGGAAGGAAGCTTGCAAGCTTTTTCTGGCCCTGTTGAATATAGGATGCTGGATCAGACTGGTTTCATCCAGCAGGAAAGGTTCTTACGTAAGTAGTTTTGAGTCTTAAGAGAGTGGCTTGCCAATCGTCTAGAAAACAAACAAAGAATAGGTAAGTCCCTCCCTTGGAGTTTGTGGAGAGACACTTCCATAAAAAAGATGAAAAGAACTTGCATCATTGGAAGAGAATGGCTTTAGGTGCGACATTGTTTTAAATCAACCATTACATGATACAAAGATTTGCTGAACACAAATGTGTTCTTCAGATACTTCTATTCAGTATTTCTATGAAGACAAAGATAACAAACCCATGGTTTTAATAATGTCCACTAGTCAAATATAAAAATATAGCACCCAGAGGCTATATATTAAAATGGTTAGTGAAAAGAAAAGTTGGGAGGGTGGAGTTGTGAAAGTGTATGGAACAAAGGCGTAGACTAGGACTTGGAAACCAAGGTATTGAATCCTTACTCAGAAGCCTGAAAAGTGCAATGGGGCTCTCCACAGGTCAACGGGAGCAAAATCGAGGGTTTTTTTGGTAAGCAATCTTTGGCTGGAAATCTAAGTGAACCACTCTCAACCATACCATACAGCTGAACTAGCTGACCAAAAGGTCGGCGGTTTGAATCTGGGAAATGGGGTGAGCTCCTACTGTTAGGCCCAGCTTCTGCCAACCTGGCAGTTTGAAAACATGCAATAGATCAATAGGCATCGCTTCTATGGGAAGGTAATGGCGCTCCATGGAGTCATGCCAGCCACATGACCTTGGAGGCATCTATGGACAACACTGTCTCTTCAGCTTAGAAATAGAGATGAGCAGCACTTCCCAGAGTTGGACACGACTAGACTTACTATCAGGGGAAACCTTTACCTTTACCTATTCAGAAGGATCAGAAAGTGGATATGGTTTAATAGCTCAGGGTAGCAATCTAGCATTTAGCTCTAGAGAATAGGGTCCAAATCTCAGTTCAGCTATGGAAACCCACTCCGTGACCTTGAACAAGTCACACTGTCTCAACCTCAGAGGCAGACCCATGACAGATCTTAGGTTGCCACAAGTTGGAAACCGCGAGAAGGTTCAAAACAAAGGGTAAATCAAGTGCATCTTTCATATCCACACCTAATTATAACAAAATCTTAAAGTTGGAAGAGACTGCAGGCCATCTAGTCCAACCCCTGCCCTGCTTGAATATACAGCTAAAATATTCCTGAAAAATGCCCATGATTGAAAACACACTGGATATATTTTATATGCACACACATTATTTTAATTCAACTAAATTTCAGCGTTGAAGATTTTGCACATTATTGCCGAACCTCATTTGTTTTCACTACACATTTCCATATAATTCAGATGTTAGCATCGAGAGAAAATGGTTTTTACCCAGATACAGACACAGAAATGAACAGAGATTTGCTGATTACTTACGGTGCAGAATTGGGATATACATATATCAGTTGGGGGCCCCAGTGGCGCAGTGGGTTAAACCCGTGTGCCGGCAGAACTGAAGACCGACAGGTCGCAGGTTCGA